CGGTATGTCCACCAGATTGCAGTACCAAAACTCTGAAGAAATCAAAGTACTCGCTGACTCAGCCATGATGTTTCAACACGCGTGGCCTCGCTTTCATGCCAAAAATGGTGACTTTGCATCCAACATGGCGGACTGTGATTAAGGCGAATTCAATTATTAATAAGTAATTTTCAAACTATCAAGTTTACCAATCTCTTCTTCAGGCAGGCGGACAAATTTCCTTCCTTCCAAGACAAAGCACTCCATTCCATCAAGGTCTTCATTCCACTCTTCAACAAACTGTTCCTGTAATGAAAAGAGTTACAGTTGGATCCCACTAATTCAAACTCAGTTATTTCAAATTCTCTGTCATTTCGAACTCAAAACCTTTTCCCTTGGATGTGCCCCTCAGTTATTTACTATCGGCTTTTTCAAACTCCTGCTATTTACCTGGGGGTTCAAAATAGCCGGGTTCAACTGTATTCTTACTACCTAATTCTTCTTCTTATGGGTATGGATATGAAGACATAAGGTCTTCTCTCCTTAGTGGTGGATAAGCAGCCATTTAACTTGCAAGCTACAATCATGGACAAAACTGTTGACACATTTGAGCAAAACAAACACTTTCTATCAGTGTCCTTTTGTAATTGAAAAAAAAAACCATCTTTTTTTTGATAGCCAAACCCCCCTCTCCCCCTTTTCAATTTCGAAATATGCTCCATGGACGCTGCCATGTGGTTACAACATTGAAAAGGGGAGAGGGGGGTCGAAATGTGAAAACTGGAGATTGAAAAACTCACACGTTCAGCGAAACTGTTTTTTTTTTCGGGGAGTGTCCTAACTGCTTCTGTCCATGATTGTAGGTTTCCAAGAATTGAGAAACCTTGATCTGCCTAATTTGAAGACAACTAATATTATTAGTTTAGTGTCAAATGGTGATGGTGATGAACAACAGCATTCATTGTTATTACCTGCTCATGATCAGGAATTGGTTGTTGTCGAGTGGTGAACAGAGCAGACAGATCAACCTGACAGATGACAAAAATAAGTATTAATAACACAGAAGGAACAAGTTCAACCACTCATTGAGATAACTAGGCCCACAATGTAACTTTGGTTACCTTAGCAGCCTTCTGGAGTTTGGCTTGGGCTTCCTTGGTTGTGATGTTCTAAGCAAAGAACCAAATGAACAAAGCTTGTCATTGTCTTAATTGTAATGATGAAATGGCAATCATGCTGACTGGATGCATCATCAAGCTAACATGACTATCAGCAGCCAACGGTCAGGTACATGTAAGGGATTGAAACAAACACTGACATTCTTCAGAAAAAAAAAAAAAAACTAACTGTTTAATCTCGAGACAGCACATAACTCGTCTTAGTNTTTTTTTTTTTTTTTTTTTTCAGAAAAAAAATAGAAAACTAGCAGCAATGTTTTGAAAAGGCTGATGGAAATATAACTATTGAGAATGTCTAGATAACTCAATTAAAGTACTTGATTGTGCAATCTCTTCATTTACAATGCCACAGAAACAATAATTCAGTTTTTCTCTTTGAAAACCTACTCATCATATATGCACTTTCGATTCTGAATCTGTTAGACCCTAACCTGCTGTTACAGACTGTACAAAACATTGTACAGTTTTAAATCCCAAACCATTCAAACAAAATACACAGGGAAGCTCTGAAATGTATTTATTATAAAACATCGCTTAGATGGCCAATCAAAATGAACTGCAAATATATAATTTTATTAAAGTATAATTTAATATTTTGAAATTCACTTTTACTATAGCAGCATAAAACCCTTTCTTACAGTGACTCCAAGCTGTTTTGCAGCCTTTGAAACATAATCAGCACTTAGAGTATAATCCACAGCCAGCACATCATCCCAGCCAGCAAATCGAGCTTTAAACATCTGGGACTCAGCCCTAAAATGAACAGAAATGTGACATGATAAGAGCAATCAGGATTCAAGCACATGACCCTTCCACTCCCAAGTCACGTGGTTTCAAGTTTGTTGTGAGCATTGTTTCACACACTAGATAAGGTAACTAACCCTATGCTCAATCTTCCCTTGCTATACAAACTTTGACACGATGCAGTGCATCCAGATATTTTTTTGAGGGGGGGGGGAGACAATGGAGGAAGGGTAGAGAAAGAAGAAGACCAAAACACCTTGTAATTAAATTTGGGGCAGACCCACTCAGGCCAGGATTTGACATTTTTTGAAACTGTCATTGATGGCAATACTCCATAGGAAGTGATGGGTCCAGGTCAGTTGAAGAATATCCTTTAAACAGGAAAAGGGATTAAGGGTTGGATAGGATAGGATATGCTAGGCCAGACTAGGCTAGACTAGGCTAGGCTAGGCTAGGCTAGGCTAGGCTAGGCTAGGCTAGGCTAGGCTAGGATAGGATAGGATAGGGCAGGGTATATGGGGCTGGTTTGACTAAGTTTGGGTAGGGTGAGATGGGATAACTTAAGAGATACTATTAAACCTACACTTCACAAATCACACACAGTGTTAATGGAATATCTAGTCTTGTTGTTTAATACCTACCCCTGAAGGTTACGTATCTGCACTGTAAATGATGGCCTATCAATCATGGTGTACAGCTCTTGAGAGAGCTTCATTGCAGCAGCACGAACTAGACGGGCTGATTTGCGACCAATCCTTACGTGCAAGACAAGAATCTTTTAGTATCTTGTTAATACATCATCATCATCATCATCATCATCATTTGTTTGCCACACAATAAAAAGAAACACATATAACAATCACATATATTACAAACAATTATTATATAATTATTGACTTCAGACTCACATACAATCTGCACAACATTGCCTGTTACTTTATATCAAGTCAATGTAAAAATAGAGAAAAACTTTTATCAAACTGCTGCAAATTGCTAAAAAAATAACCAGACGTTGTCACGCAGTTATCAATGATAATGTCTTTACTTACCACACAAAAATTTCTGTATGGCAATCCAGTATATAAACATTCTTTGTTTCAAGCATTTTGGTTGACAACTTGCCACCAGAAGTGTCCACTATAGTAAGAGATTAAAAGCACTTCAAAAGGATTGGTAAGAATTTACAGTTTTCAAAATAGCCAACACTGCCACTTACCCTTAAAGCATCATACATGCCTAATCAGGGGCACAACTCCTGGCAGAAGACCAGGGTTTCATCCTGGGGGGAGGTGAAGAGGGAAGGTGGACTCCCTTGTGAAAATGTAGGGGATGCTCCTTCTCAGTGAGCATCCCTACCCTTTTCATATGGGGTCCCCCTCCCCCTGGGGTTTTATGTGAGTTTAAAATACTTCTTTACTTATTTCCCTATTTACCTATTCCTTGAGGAATCGTGGCAGTTTCACAAGAGTATATGGTACTGGTTATAGATCTTACATCACTGATTGTCAGTTTAAACAACAAGCCCATGAACAGAAGAAAACCAAAAAACAGTACCTTGAGGTAGCTCCAAGTAACCAAGCCCTAAGGCAACTTGATAGAGAATAGGCACAGGAGGCGGTTCATTGTACTCTGGTTTTTCCTGCAATGTTAAAACAAAAAAATAATGAATGAATGGATGATACAAGAATGAATTCAGAATGAATGAATGAATGAATGAATGAATGAATGAATGAATGAATGAATGCAAGAATGTGAACAAATGAATGAACGGACAGATGGATGGATGAACAAATGAATGAATGAATGCCAGAAGGAATGGATGCAAGAATGAATGAATGAATCAATACTTACAGTGATAGGGTCTGTTGGACGACCACCAAGTAGTCTCCAAAATTCTCCAGGCTCATCTCCCTAAATTAAATTAAAACATACATCATTACACCTGCAGACTAAGACAGTAATCTGCAGTTAAGAGTCAGAAAGAGTCAAAATAAGGCAACTCATTGCACTAACTTCTATTTGGGGAGTCATTTCAGACAACTTTTGTGCCAAAATAGAAATAAATTATTTCCTTTTCTTTGCCCAGCACACTACTTGTTTCTTTTTTAAATTAAGGAAGAGGGAAGGTTTTCCTGGATCCTAGTGCTTAATTCTAGTTCAATAAGCACGAGGCAATCAGAAATACCTCAGATACATGCCAGCCAAACTTAGGTTACCCCTAGCATTTAAAAGCCACAGCGAGGTGCTACAGGGAATTCAAACACACATTGACTTGTCTAAGAAGATGACACAAAGACCCTGGCCACAGCTTGAACCCTGATCTGTAAATCCAAAGTACAGTTCATTAGCCATTAGGCCACTGTTCTTCCAAACAACTTGGGAACTGGTTTCATAACAATCCTCAAATAAAGAATGCCATCGCCACACAAAGAAATGCCAAGAAAAGTCATATGCTATCAATTTATTTGGCAGAAACATTCTAAATGGAACTCTAACTTACTGTTTGGCACATAATTATTTCCCCTTTGTTTTTCCTATCATTCTTGTTCAGCTTCTCAGCAAACAACCTGCAGAGAGGCACATTAAATTAGCCAGCACAGATTAAATTATTCATTTAATCTTAACTTTAATAGTTTGTGTTAATTTTTAGCTCTTCAGAAATTGAAAGTACACAATTTTCATCAAATTACCTTCCTTTCGTTTTTGTCGTTCCTTTTGCCTAGTACATAAAAAAACAAAAAAACAAAACAAATATACATAAAAAATACACTGATGAGCAAGGTTGTTAGAAATTTCAAAAAACATTTTCTTCCAGTACAATAAATAGATTTACAGCAAACATTTTCTCCAGTAAGACCAACTGACAGGAATAGTGACTCTTAAGCATAAAAACCTCTCAGTTAGATCACATTGACTCATTTAATGATTCCTGCAGATGGATTCTGTATTCAAGTTTCTGTATGACATAGACATAGACAACTGTTCTTGGACAATTCTGTGCAAGGGGGAAAAGCACAATGAGGTTAACCCTATGTGAGGCACCAACCTGTGAGACAAGGCCAGACCACAATAGTCTGTTATGAAAGCTAGTCAAATCCTCACCCTTTCTCCTGACCAAATATAGATTTTGAGTCCAGCATCCAGGACAAAAGAGCATGTTGGATCCAGGGACAAAGTGCTTGCTTCCACCTTATAGATAGCAGGATAATTGTACAAGACAAGTAAATGTATGCACCATTCATAAGAATTGGAGTAGTCTGCCAGGACTCTATCTCCAAAGCAGGTTGAAGTTAACAACTCCCTGATCACTTACTAGAGTAATGCACTGAGCAACAATTACAGAGAACATTTTCACTTATGTGGCATTGGGTTCAACAATACACATTTTCATCAATATGGGAACAGATGGGCATCACACATTATAAATTGCANTCTGTTATGAAAGCTAGTCAAATCCTCACCCTTTCTCCTGACCAAATATAGATTTTGAGTCCAGCATCCAGGACAAAAGAGCATGTTGGATCCAGGGACAAAGTGCTTGCTTCCACCTTACAGATAGCAGGATAATTATAGAAGACAAGTAAATGTATGCACCATTCATAAGAAATGGAGTAGTCTGCCAGGACTCTATCTCCAAAGCAGGTTGAAGTTAACAACTCCCTGATCACTTGCTAGAGTAATGCACTGAGCAACAATAATTCAAATGGCATATCTTTGCTACATGTGTAACAAATTTCCAGTTATCCTCTAGTTACTTGCACTTGCTCAGTCTGCTGTAATTATTACAGAGAACATTTTCACTTGTGGCATTGGGTTCAACAATACACATTTTCATCAATATGGGGACAGATGGGCATCACACATTATAAATTGCAATCTGACTTACTGGTTCCAGCTGCACTTTAGACTGCTTAAGAATCCTAAACAGTCTGGTTGGGTAGATCTAGTAAAACAAAAGAATTGTTTAACTACAGAGATGCAAAGGGAATTTTCAATAATTAAAAGTCTGTCAGGCCATTAGGCTGTGGTGCCTTGCCAGAAGACAAAAATAATAATGTAAACTTACTGGGTCTTCAACGGTGTAAAATCCACTTGCTGTTCCTCCTATGGTGAGAAAAACAAACACCACAATGTAACAAAATTCAAATGGCATATCTTTGCTACATGTGTAACAAATTTCCAGTTATCCACTAGTTACTTGCACTTGCTCAGTGTGCTGCTGATCTACATTCAGTCGCTAAGATGTTAACATTTCAAAGTATCAGAAAAGACCGCATACCCTCCACATAACTGATGCCATTTTCAAATAATTCTGAAAATTCTTCTGATTCTTCTCCTTGTTCCTCACGCTGCAATAATCAGAAAGAGATGTTACAGTGTAGCAGGGAAAAAGCCAATTAGGCGTGAGAAAACTAAACCTCAAACAGCAATGACAATTCGAGGTTTGCTTGCACGTCCTGGTTTTTATTGTGATTGGTCAGCATACAATTATTGACCTGTCAGAATCAAATCAAAGTGTTCACGGTTTCTTGACTTGCAAAGAAAATCGCTTGACCATTTACTTTTTTCTCTGTTATGATCAAGAATATTGCGAGTTACTACCACCAAACCCAATTGCAGCACTTGGATTTCAACTGATCATAGATGTATTATGTCCACAGAATATTGCAAGATTTTTGACCAGTCTACAATAGAACTCTTATCATTTGCAATCATTCAGAAACCAGGCTTTAATTTTAAGTGCAAAAGTCTCATGCAGACTAACACCACTGTACCTGGAAGATGCAAGCTCTCATAAAAAGATAATTGGTGAATAAATTACTCACCACAGTGCGAGTCTCTGCACCAAGGAAATTTCTCAGATTCACAGCATGAATAGCTGAACAGGCCTTCTTGTCAAGCTGAATAACACAAGATAACAGTCAGGCTACCTATATGGACTGTACTCAGACAGTGACTTAATCGTACCTTTTTGGTGTGCTTTGGCAGCATATCTGGGGAGTTTGGTCAGGCCATGACTTGTATTTTGGCAAGATGTAGTTGAGCCAACATGCTCATGATGAGCCCAAATGAATCTGATGTCCCNACTAGTTACTTGCACTTGCTCAGTGTGCTGCTGATCTACATTCAGTCGTTAAGATGTTAACATTTTAAAATATCAGAAAAGACCGCATACCCTCCACATAACTGATGCCATTTTCAAATAGTTCTGAAAATTCTTCTGATTCTTCTCCTTGTTCCTCACGCTGCAATAATCAGAAAGAGATGTTACAGTGTAGTAAGGAAAAAACCAATTAGGCTTTAGAAATCTAAACCTCATGACAAACAGCAATGACAATTTGAGGTTTGCTTGCATGTCCTGCTTTTTATTGTGATTAGTCAGCATACAACTGACCTGTCAGAATCAAATCAAAGTGTTCATGTTTTTTTGACTTGCACAGAAAATTGCTTGACCATTTGCTTTTTTCTCTGTTAGGGTCAAGCATATTTTGAGTTACCACAACCAAAATCAACTGCAGAACTTGCATTTCAACTGATCATAAATGTATTATGTCCACAGAATATTGCAAGATTTTTAAAAGGTCTACAATAGAGCTCTTATCATTTGTAAGCATTCAGAAACCAGGCTTTAATTTTAAGCACACATATCTCATGCAGACTAACACCACTGTACCTGGCAGATTCAAGCTTTCATAAAAAGATAATTGGATGAATAAATTACTTACCACAGTGCGAGTCTCTGCACCGAGAAAATTTCTCAGATTTACAGCATGAATAGCTGAACAGGCCTTCTTGTCAAGCTGAATAACGCAAGATAATAGTCAGGCTACCTATATGGACTGTACTCAGACTTAATCGTACCTTTTAGGTGTGCTTCGGCAGCATATCTGGGGAGTTTGGTCGAGTCATGATTCATATATATATTTTGGCGAGATGTAGTTGGGCCAAAATACCCATAAGGAGACCAAATGAATCTGATGTCCCGCCCAAGTGTGCCAAAAAAAGGAAGGATTAGGTATATACCAGGACCAAATTTGGCCCAGTGAACATAATGGCATGGCCATATCAGGTCAGAGACTGGATATCACAAGATGTCAGGACAGTAGACATGACTTTTGATTGGTTAATTGTGGAAAATGCATTTCTCCTTCTCAGTTAATTTTGAAGTAACAATGTGGTGGCATGACTAATCAGCATTATTTCCCCTAACACCAATCCACAAACATGGTATGGAAAATACAAATCATATGTTTTACTGACTGGTTAAGTATACTTACTGAGGCTTCTTTTCCAATCCAGTAAAATATCTGCCAGTCTAACTGATCTGTGTCGTCAAAACTAGTCTGTTGATGTTTAGTGTATCAAGAGATAATAAAAATTAATACTTTTCATGCACTACTGCCTCTTTAAATAAGAGGGAAGAAAGATTCTACAGTCCTGACCAAAAACAGTTCCTCATTTGAATTGAGAGAAACTGAATACACAAGATACCAACCTTGAGTATAATGTAGCAGTCTGCTTCATAAAACTTTCCATAAAACACTAGAAAAAGGCAGAGAGACTTGATGTATTACGTGTACCTTGCTATACAGCATATATCTGTACTGTATTTTAGCATGAATTTTAGGGCAGAATGATAATTTTTCCAACCATTTTTTTTTTTCACTTTTTGGGGTGTTCTTAAAAAAATTTACATGCACACCACCCACTCCTCTCAGTTCTTAATCCTACCCTACCCTACCAGGATCCCATATCAACCCCCTACCCCTCACCCTAACCCCACCCAGGTCTTTTTATCTTGTATTTACCTAGATTTGAATGCCTGATAACTAACTTTGTAGTCCACTTTCATATCCATTAGGCAATGGAAGCAATCATTGCAAATTGCCTCATTTTTTTGGCCTACTGAGCTACTGGTCAAAGGCTCACCCTTTCCCTTTGACCCATCCCCTGGATGAGATGCCAGTCCATTCCAAGGTTACCGAACCCCCAACAATAAATTTGCTTGGACTCATTTGTACACCTGGCTGGAGAGAAGCACTGTGAGAGTAGGGTGTCTTGCCCAAGGACACGATGCAACGACCCATGCCAGGGGCCTGTTTCTTGAAAGCCCTGGAAACTTTTCGGGCCTGCAAAGCCATTTTTAGTTTATCGGTATTCAAAGAAAGAGAGGTGTATTCACCTGAAACTTCTTGTATGAAGAGAACCTCTGTTCATATTAAGAATATGTGCACAAAACAGCTCTGAAGTCATAAGGTTTGAGATTTTGCCACAGCTTTTCGGGTGCAAAAACTTTTTGCGACCTTCAAGAAAGGATCCCTCAGGGCTCACCATTAGGCTGACATACCTGTGCCAAGGGCAAGCCTGAAAATCAGTTTCTTTGTACCCTGACCTGGGTTACTCCATACAGAGTCTAACTGTGTCCCCCTATCATGTTATGATTGCAGGAGCAGCTCCATAAAGAAGGAGGAAGAGTGGGGATTCAAAGGAAAAAACCTTCCATGGGAAAAGAATGGATATTTTCAGATTTTATGACACATAGTGAGAATCTGACAGTATTTAAGCAAAATGACCAGTATTATGTTACGATTATGAAAATAACTTACATTCATCAACACTAACTGGCAAGAAATTTTCAATCTGCCACACTGTCAGACCTATAATGTGAAACCATTTTGTCAGTAGGAAAATCAAAGACAAATGCGAGAAACAAAATCTATCACTGTATATTTGATAGTACACCCCAAAAATATAATTGTTGCAATACACTATCAAACCACTGGAAGGATAACGAAAATTATCAACAAATTTAATTCAGTATTAAAAATTAAATAAGCAAATTCTCAAAGACCTTATGTAGAAGGAGAATTAGTGTTTTAATCTCACCAGGTTCGTGGCCAGTGTCATCATTAAAGAAATCATGATAATTCAAATTAGGCTTCACTAATGCTTCATTCCACTTCCTTCCTCTATGATGAGAATTTACAAAAACAAAAAATATTATTCTGTGTACAAAGGAAGGTATGTGTGCTGAACTTTTAAAACAAGGATATTTATAATCAGTTATTCACTTACTTCAGGAGCTTCTCAGGCTCATCTATGCTTTGCTGAAATTTAAAGATGCAAACCAACATGAGTTGACACATTACCAAGAAATACAAGTTTTTATCAAGAAATAATATCAGAACACTTCAAATTNTGATTTACACAACAGAAAATTTTTGGCATGGTTCCGATAAACATGGTGCGCATACCAAAAAAAAAAGGTTCAGCACAGATGCATTTTGTTGTCTAAACAACTTTTTCTTATTTATGCCAAGCCAAAATCTCACCTATGCTCACTGAAAAGGTAGTCTGAGTGGAGATGAAATTTTGGCTTGGTGTGAGTAAAGTAAAGTCATTTACAGCACAAAATTTATCTGTAGAAGGTCACTTTTTTTGGTGCACACGCACCATTTATATCGAAACAATGCCCAAAATTTCCTGACATGTAAATCTGCCCTAAGTAAACATTAACTACATACCTCTTTGAGTTGATTATGACTAAAATCCTGAAAAAGGACACAAGTACATGTAGATCAACACTATTATTCTGTATTACTGGAATAGACTTGCAAAGGCAACAAAACATTTAACAATATATGCCACATGTAACATGAATGGAAACTCACAATAGTTAAGAGGTCATCTAGTCCAAAAATGTCGCCAGGTATTCCAGAATTCTTCAGCTGATTTTGACGTGCATTAATTACCTGTAAGTAAAAATGACAATAGAGTTATTAATGGTATTTTATTACAACCTAGAAAAACATCAAACAAAGTTAAAATATTTGTGCATGATGCCTTACCCTTAAGTGAGAGAGAGTTGAAAGGTCTCCATGGATACTTGCTAAGCTGTTTGCCTTCAATGACAAGTGTTCCTGAGGGACAAAAACAGGATTCAACAAAACTTAATTCAAACCATCTTTGCCAAGATGTAATCATCACCTTTACCATACCCAAATCTCCCTTTCTACAGTCCTGGGTCCCTAGAGGTGAGATACACCCTTCTAAAAACTTCTAAATGGTATGGTTTTGAGAAACACAATTTGATCTGAAATAGGTATGTTTTGTGTTCCCTGGGGAGGGAGGTGGGGTGGCCTCATAGTTAGTGTGCTTATCTTCAGATCGAGTGGTCTGGGTTCGAGCCCTAGCTGGGGTCATTACGGTCATTGCATTGTGTTCTTGGGCAAGACACTTTACTCTTATAGTGCCTTTCTCCACCCAGGTGTAAAAATGGGTAAAGGCGAACTTAATGTAGAGGTAACCCTGCAATGGAGGCGGGAAGTAGGAATACTCCTATATTCTTCATGCTACAGAAACCAGGAGAAGCTCTGGCCTGATGGGCTGCTTGGCTCATATACAGACTTAACCTTTGTGCTCCCTGGTCTAGAGTTGGATATGGTTATTACACGAGGAAGAAGTGTGGTGTGTTAATAAAAATTATCAGGGATTTTGAAACCCTTCTCAAATTATAATGCAAATATCTAAGTCTTTGATGTTATTTGAGCCCATATACCAGATATGCAACAGGGCAGACCTGATTCCTGGGTCAAGTCTGAAAAATTGTACAGAAAATCACATATTTTAGTCTGAAACAGAATATCTGCCGGTGCATATAATATAGCATTAAAAGGCTCAATGGGAATAACAAAAAAAAGTCTGTCAATCCAATTAGGCATGATGGTCACTGCAAACTAAGGTTCCAAGAGGAAGGCATCAAGTTTGGGTAGTGTGCACGTGGTTGCATAGAGAATTATAAAGCGTTCTGATTGGCTTATACTATTTAACAGGTCTGTCAAAAATGTCAGTAGTGGGAGGGCAGGGAGCATTTCCGGTCGCATTGTAAACTATTTCAGTATTTGTTCTTTGGTAGTGAAGTCAAGTCAATGTGTTTGACTGTGCATGTGGGTTACTTGATAGATAAAACATTGCCCATGCATCTTTTCTAGCAAATCTCAAGTGAGCTATGCCAGTCCCTCTCCTGTCAAAACTTTCATTGCGCTTTACTATTCCTCATTTTCATTCCGCTCCAGCAAATGAAAGGTGTACCATGGACTATGACAATAACAATTCCTTGCCATTGCATGCTCAGCTGTTTTGCAAAGTTGTTCTCGGCGGAGTTTTACGAAGAAAAGCCCAGCTCATAGATGAATGAATGTATCTTAATTCAGCTCAGTAAAATGCCAATTTAGGGGATTACTCACCAGTTTCATCAGGTGAGATAGTTCATCTGGCAGAGCTTCCAATCCAGTCTGGTTTAACTTCAGCCACCGTAAGTTTGGCATGTCTGCCACCCTTTTCGGAAAATCCAGCTTCTACATGTAAGATAGAAACAACTCTTTAAGGATTAATGGTCTCAACAGAGGAGATAAAACAGTAGAATCTGTACCTTGAAGTCATTCTTGGTGAGATCAAGACCACGGACAAACGGCAACACACCTTCCGCCATTTTGCAGACCGCCGGACGAATGACACTCGCGCTTCCCCCTGGGGTAGGCTGAGGAGTCATGTCAAGGCTTATTTGTCTTTTTTTGACACACTGTGAAAAAGTAAAAGCTAGAACCCATTTTAATGACAGAAATTCTCACAATTCTTATTTGTGAAATCATTTGAGACGAAAGCGCTTCTGGTGGTTTTTGTGTATCCGTTATTTTGAATTAAAGTTATATTTCCTTACCCCTCCCTACACCGTATTCCTTGTCATTCAAGGTTTCGTACGAAGGTACACGCGCGAAATGTCTGAAATTGAAGAGAAGAAAACTTGGTACGAAGTACTACCTTCCCTTTTCAATTTACTTGTGGAGAATGCCGATGGAATCATAGATGACACGAGCTTACAAAGAATACTTGAGTGGTTAAAGAATGTCTGCAAGAATGATCAACAAGTACAAAAACTCCTTCAGTGTGGAACAGTTGAGTTTATGTCGAAGGACCACGTTTTCTCCAACCCTGAATCATCGGCATTCTTTCTCACACTGTTTGGATTTCTTGCGGCGAGAGCAGAGATATTCCATTCTTTTAAATGTGATGGAGATGGAGACTTTGTTGCCACGTTTCTGGATAAGCCAAGGACTGATTCAAACTTGTGGAATGAGGGTATTGTGAGAAATGGATATTTTCAAGCGTTGAGTTCTCTCACGGAGCACAAAGATGGGATATTATGGCTGAGAAATACAGGTAGAAATTTACAGTAGTTGATAATTGAAAGCATGGCTTAAAAAGACAGTGTTGCAGGAAATGAACGTTGCAAAGTATAGCCAGCTTCATATTCCGGGGGAGGGGGGAGGAGCGGGGGGTCTCTGCTAGGATCAACTAGCCCTGGGTTAAGGGATTGAAAATACCCCAATTTACAAAGTGATATTATTTGCTACCCCATCTAGTCAAGGGGCACAGACATACTGGTATTAGCATATAAAAAAGGTAAAGTCTGCATGTGAGCCAAGTGGGCAATCAGGCCATTGCTTATTGCCAGTTTCTGTTGCATAAAGCAACTAGGAGTATTTCTGCCCCTTTCCCTGGATGGACTGCTAGTCTATAGCAGGGGTATATATCTATCACTGTATATTTGATAGTACACTCTAAAAATATAATTGTCAAATCACTGGAAGAATAAAGAAAATTATCAACAAATTTAATTCAGTATTAACAATATTAAATAAGCAAATTCTCAAAGACCTTACATAGAAGGAGAATTACTGTTTTAATCTCACCAGGTTCGTGGCCAGTGTCATCATTAAAGAAATCATGATAATTCAAATTAGGCTTCACTAATGCTTCATTCCACTTCCTTCCTCTATGATGAGAATTTACAAAAACAAAAAATATTATTCTGTGTACAAAGGAAGGTATGTGTGCTGAACTTTTAAAACAAGGATATTTATAATCAGTTATTCACTTACTTCAGGAGCTTCTCAGGCTCATCTATGCTTTGCTGAAATTTAAAGATGCAAACCAACATGAGTTGACACATTACCAAGAAATACAAGTTTTTATCAAGAAATAATATCAGAACACTTCAAATTTATGGCAAGCCTTTCAGTTCAGTACAACCAAAGTTTTATTTCCTTGACCAGGTGTAGACGGAGAATGAAGACAGTAACCAACCTTTTGGCTGCTCAGTTATGTGGGTTATACAGATGAATACCAATTTCTGAAACCCTTGATTTTTCAAATTTCCTCATAACTCAAACCAAAAGTCGTTTCGTTTCCCTCAGTTAAACAATGTCATGTCACCCCCGATTTTTAAAACCAATTTTTTCCCTTGGAGATTCAAACATTTGGGATTTCACTATATAAAGAATACTAAGAATTTGATTTTCAGTAAGGGCTTCTTTCCTCCCTCACATCCCTCCTATTTAAATGTGCTACATGGTACAATTAAAAAACTGATCACTTACCCTTTTGCCCAATTTTTTGTTCCTCCCTGTGACTTTTTTCTCCTCGGCATCTTCTACCATACCCTATGGACATTAAAAAGAGACCACATCTAATCTAATACAATGTGATAGAGCCAGCCTTACAGAGTAAACAGTCCCATGAAATGCTGGTCAACAGGATTAAAATTAATAAGAATTACTCAAATTGGTTCCAGAATAGCTAAACAGCTATCCAGCCATCTTTTTTCTGAAGTACATGTACATTTATAGTCTGTTACCTTTAGTTCCTCTGACTGGCCCTGGTATCGTCTTCCTCTCATTCGCAACTAGAAATGATAAAATCAAAACAAGTAAAACAAAATATTTATAATTTGTCTGAGTAAAATGCTGTAAAACCACTTTAAAAATTAAATTTCCTATAAAAGGGTTGAGTTCAAACACAGACATTTGATCTGGAATTCAAACCTTCCAAATTAAAGTTGAAATACAACCAAAGTTTCTATAACACCCATTGTAAAAATATCATGCCTTTATTACCAGCCAGTTTACCCAATAATTATATTTTAATAATAATGATAATAACTTTATTTATATAGTGAGTATATACAAAGCTCTATATTGCTTTACAGTCATGACAGTAAAACTAAATATAATAATTTAACCTAAAATAATTAAGTATAAACTTTAAGATAGAAATAATTATCTAAAAGCAATTCTGAAAAGATGAGTTTTTAAATGCGACCGATGGACAAGAGGCAGATCATTCCATAGCTTGGGGGCGGCAACTGAGAGGGCTCTGTCTCTGTAAGTTTTTAGACTTGCCCTAGGAACTTCCAAAGATACTTTCCAACAGATTTTAACTCACCTTTCTTGCATAAGCATCCTTATGGGCTGAAAATGAAATAAAAAATAACATTCTTCAAGTACACTAGCTGCTTTCAACACTAAATACAAGTGAATTAAACACCACTGGCAGATAATTTTTGTCTTGTAAAATGCCTGACAATGTGCTGACAACATCAGGGAAAGTCCTAAACAGGTCACTGTCA